ATTTTTTTACAGTTTACATGAAAGTGATCATTTTTCATTTCTTCCCTGCACATTTCCGATTTATCCCACTTCAAAAAAGAGTCACACCCTGCGGCGTCTGAATGCAATTCATTTCTCAGTCTGCAATACCGAGGACCTTGTTATTTCTCCCAGATTAATTTGTTTAATAAAGCAACAAGTGCCACTTACTCGAAGTAATGAACATACGAGGACCTTAACACAACACTATCGATAGATGTTGTCATTCAAAGTTCCTGTGTTAATTTTATCCATGCATTTTTAATTAATTTTTTATTGTTACTCGGGTCATAGGAACGGTATGAAAGCGTTCCGCCTGCGCTATTCAGAACGATCTGTTCAGATTTTGTCATATCGGCCTTTCTCATATAAACTTGTTTAACTTCCAATTAATTGATTAAAAAAATGTATTTTTATCCTCTTTTGTTCTTTGCTTAAAAAATTCCCTGAAACGTTTTATTCGCTCTCTTCCTTAACAGCGTTCTCTAGTTTTACTATCTTCGATTATTTTTGTATTTTTCATGTCATCTGTTTTTTTCCCTTTCTCTTTGTAATTATTATACCGAAACAGTTGTCTATAATCCTTGGTTGTTCTCTTATTCAAATTCTTCCGAGAACATTTTTGTTTCTTTTTTCTATCATTTTTTCTACAACTTATTATGAACCATCAATGAATTGATTGTGCTGATTTTTACCATCTCTTTCACCTACTATTTTCGATTGTTGTTTCTAAGTAAAAACATTAATTTTTATGTATTTCGAAAATTTATTTTGAAAATAATGCGCATTATCGTTCGATGGTAATTTTTTAACGAAAAATACAAATCAAAAATTTATTCATTTGCAATAATGAAGAAAATATTGTTTCCAAACCGGCAATTCTGAAACATTTCCGGACATTATATTCGTATTATAAGATGAACGGTCTAATATTATGAAATCATAAAAACAACATGACTTGATTGCAGTACGAGGATGAAGTAATAACCATTTGAAAGTGGATTCAATAAGTTTCAAAATGGTATTCATTTGCAAGCTTGATTTGTAAGTTCTTAGATAATATGACATATGCGCAATGTATCGAGCGATGAGAGCTTGAAAATGCGGTCTGAATAAAACTAGGCCAGCCTTAGAGAACATTTCATTTTCGAGTTTAAATGTTCAGGAATCAGAGCATAATTCAAACAGCGAAATGAATCTCATATAAAAATTCATTCTTCTAGCTTTCGAATGGTATTACATATTCGTTACGTATCATTCGATGAAATGCTGAAAGACCTCTCAAAATAAAATCTGCGAGTGTAGCATGACATGACATGTTATATCCATTTCAATGTTTATAACACCATAAATTCCGTATTGGTCACCTTAGAGGTATAAAGATTAGGAACAACTGGAAAGCTAATCTCATCAGCTTCAAAATGGTATACCTTATATATTGCTCAACTGAAAAAATAGAGGACTTAGAGAGCTAAAAGTGTCGGCTAACTCAAAGTGATAACGATTTTTTAAAATAGGATTTTAAGACTTGGGCCAACTTTTGAGGAAACGATGGCATGAAGAAATTCAGTCAGCTGATTTTCTACTAGTTTGTCAGCAAAGCTCATGAGGGTTTCCATCGTGGAACTCATGGGCTTCTTCGTCCTATAGGTTTTGGGCTTTTTGATCGACAACTTGGTTTCCGCAATGGTTAGTTACGACCCCTGTTCCTTTATTATGGAGTTGCCTAGTTTTTTCATCTGTACAGGTGTGGAATTTTGCACGTGTTTCCTGCCGTAAAACTTTTTTTTTCTCCTATTAGGAGGCACGGAACAGCATTAGTTCTGGTGGATTTATAAGCACACAAGCGGCGGATGGTTCTGCAAAGTGCGGGCAATAAATGATACGAATAACGCAGTTAGACAGAGAACTCTACACTGAGAGAAAAATGCAGTAAATTAAAAAAAAAATTGCCTTGAAACTGACAAATGAAATTAATGAATAGTCGCAGACACATATGCGATTGCGAGTGGTAAATATTGAATTGAATAAATTTGTTTGAAACAACTAATTGAAATTTTGGATTTGAATTGTAGCTTTACTTGTTTGCAAGAATTCAAATTTGAATGTAGTATTCGGTAAAATATGCCTGAGGATGCATTCCATTCATGAACATATTTGGTAGCCTCAACTAATTATTCATTTTTGTATATTAAGATCAGAAAAATATTTTTTAACTTCTCAATAATTACAAAAAAATAATATAGTAGAATTAGATAATTGATTTTTCTGTTTCAATTTTATATAACTATCTTATTAAGAGTATATTTCTTTATTTCTACTACACATTTGTTACAAAACAGTAAATTGGCCCGAATCTATCAGAAGATTAAATTAATCAAATAGTCACTTACTTCAAAAATATTTTTGACTGTTACAAATATAATTCAGTAAAAACAACCATTTCTGGTCGCAAACAAATAAGTTTAGTACATTTTACTAAATTTTTCTCTCAGTGTATGTATTGATTTTACTTCAAGGAGCTCCAGAACAAAACTGGCTTTATGCAATGGATCAACGTAAATCATCGCCCGTTAGCATATTAACACAGTCAAGGCTTTCACACTTATAGACGTCCCATTCTACTGCAGGTTCAAAATAAAATTCCATCTAACTATGTTAATATCTGCAAATAGAATATCAAATCGGTCAATAAACACATAAACAATCAGAGGATACAGGCTATGATTGGAAATTCCAAGAGTCAATTAGTTAAACAATGATTAGAACAATAGAAGGGTGTTGAAGTTCTGAAGTGATTAATTTAACTGATAGAATAAACTATTTTTCTTCACTGCCAGCAGAAATAAGTCCCCCTATTGTGTTTGTGTTCCCTGGAACTTTAGTCCCAGGAATAGCAGCAGAAGTAGACACGACAGGGATCCTGTAGGGCATGAACAGAAAAGGATTCAAGTAGTTAAAGAAAAAAATTGTTGTATACCCACTATTTGATTTTGATATTCCCCAATTATCCCTCTAAATTTTAATGCCTAGAAACCTTTTCCCAAAACTCCAGTGCAATACCCATGAAATAACCCTCCAATTCCCAAAAACCCGGACAACTCATTTTCTCAATCGATTGATTGCTTCCTCGCTACTTTCCCAGTAGATCGGGCCTAATCCGGGACTTTCCCAACTTTCTACCCGTTCAATAAATGCTTTTACTCCCTTACCCGCTAACTCCAACCCTTCAGGACAATCCCTCACTACAACTGACCAATCGCCCACCTTGGGCCTTTCTCCTTCCAATTTCCTCAACCCCTACTATCCACCCTCAAGGGACTTAAAACTAAGATCGCTTGAGAAACGACAGCATAGATATATTTAGAGACTAGGAAGAAACAAGTAGTCAGGAAGATTTTCAAAATACGATCAGCTTGTGTTATAATTATAAATAAAGATTTCGTAAATTGAAGTGGGTAATTCCTTCAACCCGGAATCCAACAAAATAGTGTAATGTGAAAAGGATAAAATCCCTTTCGCACTCTAGATGAATATTCTTTCAGAAAACACATTTTACCTGTTAACATAGAGTTATGGTGGAATTTTAGTTTGAACCACCTGCTGCTCGTGTGTTCATAAATTGATAGCCAGTTTGATAGTGTTTAATGCCCCGTAACGAGAGGAAAAAAATAATTTCAAAGTCGAGAAAAATGCGCAAAATCCCTTCTCTGTAGCTGTAATCGCGAATTCGAACCCATGGAAGTACGAGTGCACGAAGAGAACAATTCAATGAAAATTACCAATGACCGCTCTACTCCTGTGCACGGTAAGGAGAAACTTTTGGGTCGAACGATCCAATAAAGACCAGCCTCTTTAAAAATGGACTTTCTCTTTCACGCAAGGGCTCGCGTGAAGCACCGCAGTGCCCTTTTCAATGTTATCGAAAATCTTGGCATTATATTATCTACAATTTGGTAATTTTTTATTTTCAATCTTTCAACTTTAGTGGAAAACCGATTGATTAAAATTTCATTCGATATTTTCTCCACCGATTTATTTTTTTGGTCATTTTAGTATGTTATTCAGAACATTTTTATCCGCCCAATGAACGTTTCCATCGATGGTGAATTAATTTCGGAGCTAGGGCCTTTCCATGTTTTTTACTTATTCTTTCAATTCGACCACACTATTCCTTGTAAAACATTAGGAACTCCTCATGCCTCTTACTCATCCCTCTGCTCATGCCTTTGCTCATGCCTTTGATTCACCATCCACTGTTATCGACACTCATCCGCTCGCTGTTTTATCCACAGGAACGTCTCGAGGTTCGAAAACTCCCTGTCTTATCTACAAGTATGGCCTTTGGATTAGTTTAGCCGCCACCGCTCTACATGCTCTTGTCTATCTTTCTCTATCGACCCTTATAATCTCAGCTTGCAACGCAAAGTCCGACACATGAGAGCGAAAAAATAATTACCGCATAATTTTTAAATATCGTTATTCAACAGACGTACATTACTCGTCTGTCTACCATGCAGCTATTAAAACAACGCGTTCATAAATATAATAATCTCTATCTGTATTTCATTGTTCGATATGGTTATTATAACTGATTTAAATGGAAAAACAATACAATTATTATTGAGAATCACTGAACTGTCAGTCAGTCCGGCTACGTCACGTTACTCCATGATCCTGACAGTGGCGGTCTGATTTTGTACGACCTAGGAAAAATAAGTTCTACAAACTTTAATTTATAAACATGTCATGGTGATTGTGAAGTTTCAATGATAAAGATAGTAATGTTTGCAAGGAAATGGCGAGTCGTCATTTTTTAAATGACTTAAATAATTTAGAGAATACTTCATAGATAGGTTATGACAGTGAGAACGGCAGAAAATTAACATTTATTGTTCCTAATGGCGAGTAATCCAGTGACGTACTTATTGTCAATATTTTGTTTAATCGCTCTTTAGTTATTGTAGTTTTCATTTTCTCAGTTGCAGATTTTTCTTTATCCGAAAATGATCAGGGTTTATTCTGTGTGGATGCCACTTGTGCTGGGTAAGTTTATAATAATAATACAAAATATTTCATCTAGAATTGCATGTTTACTATTAGGCAAACTGACAGGTTTGGATGTTGAACAATTAAACTACGCATTTCTCTTATGAGCTTCATATCATCCACTTTTCCAATTGCGGCTTTACAAACAATTACTAATAAGACGAAATATATTTTTTTACTACTTGAAATACTATTTTTCCGGTGATTTTCGCGCCAACCGCATCATTGGATCCCAAAAGCGAATTTTCAAATTAATTTTTGAAAAAACCAAAATTGTTGAAAAAACCAAAATTTTTGAAAATTCAATATTTTTTGAGAAACGGCTCTTCTGTATATGGAAAGTCATGTTAGGGGAGGGTGGGGCAAAGTGGACCGGTGAAATTTTTTTTTAAATTGCTGCTTCGATATTAACACGAACAATTAACATGACCTTCATTGTATGAAATTGTTATTTACAAAATTATGGATTAAGTGGGCGATTTCTTAGTTATTAAAGGTGTTGAGAAAACAAAAACAGGAAGAACAAAAAACAATAACAGAAACCGTCAAACAAAAGTAGGTAAAATTCATACTCAAACAAAATTCACTTGAACCATTGTTTGAATTCGCTGGTAGTTTACTGTTTTCAAATGCGAAATAAAATGTATTGTAACAAAGTTAAAATCTCTTGATGATTCCTATTGACTTTCTACTTATAATACGACAAGAGGTTCAAAATGATCGGCCGTGTCCCGATAGGTTCGTTACCAACAAATGAAGAAGTCACATGAGGAATCACTTGATGACTTTATTTACTTGTAGGAAATCTTAAGGGAAATGCCAGATAATTTTGAAGCTTGTGTGGTTTTATTTTTTATTTTATATTTATATTTGATTATTTTTCGGACCCAAATGTCAGCCAATAGAATTGCGCCATAAGACGAAACTCACGGTTAAGAAATAAGAATTTCATATCTGTCAGTTTGTCGTGGGGTTAATTTGACTGGATAATATTTTGTTCTTTTATACAGCCACTACCAGAGAGAATCATTAAAAAATCATCAGTATAATATTATGTAGGTTGTCCAGGTGACGTCAAATGGTGCGATTCTATTGGTCGATATTTGGATCGAAAAAATAATCAATTGAATTCCATTTGAATTTGAGTTCATATGCATCGAAGTGTTAGTGGTGTACGGCAAAGTTCGAAAAAACTAGCTTCTATGAAATGAAAACAAAAGTGATATTACGGGTCTAAATTTGGAATTATCACTTTGAATTTTTGGTGTGATTTTTTTTAGGCCAATATATACAGTCTATCGAATATCGACTATTGTTTAAATTTTATCTTTTTAACCTAAAATACATTAAAATTTGGGATCAGTTTTGTGTTGCGGGAAGCACTTGAATGGACATGAAAAAATAATGAAAAAAAAAGAGGAAAAATTATTGAAGGGCGCTAAAGATCGATATTATTTAAAAGGAATTTATCAAGTTTCCTAAAAAATAATCAAAAATACGTAGCTTACTATTACATCTAGCTGTCACTGAATTTTCTGGAGAGCAATGGTAAGCTGCGTAATTTTTATTATTTTTTTGTAAACTTGGTAGATCCCTTCTAAACAATATCGCTCTTTAGCGCCTTTCAATAATTTTTCTTCTTTTTTTTCATTATTTTTTCATAACCATTTGAGTAGCAATACAAATTTGATTCAAAATTTTAATGCGAAAAAGAAAAAATTTAAACAAAAGATGACATTCGATAGATAGTCCATCCGGGCCTTAATATGAAATATTCCTAAATTTGGATTTTCAATTGTGTTGAGGGAATCACTTCAATGATTATAAAAGATAATTGTAAAAAACAAGACAAAATTATTAGAGGGTGGCAAATCGAGATGCCCATTCCAAGAAATTAGTCAGGTTTTTTGAGAAATAATTAAAAATATGTAGTTTACCAATCATCATGGTGGGGAAAAAGAATACATTTGACAGTGAATGACAATATGGAATCAAAATGAACTGTTAAATGTTACCGATGGTAAACTATATATTTTTTATTATTTTTCTGTAAACTTGGCCGCTTCCTTGGAAACAATAGCTCGATCAGGCTTACCCTTGGAAACCCAGTCACCCTGGCCCCTCGTACTAGATCAACACGGCATAATCCCGTAAGTAACGCAAGGCGAGGGCTATGAAGTACATGCGCAAATTTCTTGGCGCATAGCGTCAAGATATTGGTCTTTTGGAATTTTATGGGAATTACTATCATATACCTACCAAACTCGAAAGCTTGAAAATCACTACAGAATAGCCCATTTCGATCCGATTGAATTCGTATCGAAATGTACTGTTTTGTTATCATCGGCAGAGAGTGGAATTTTACCCACTCAGAGCGTGCGTAAAATGTCGCTTTGCATAGAGCCTGCCGTAATATACTATTTCAAGGGTCTGTTCGGAAATATCTTTTTTCGACATACTGCGCAAAATGACATTTTGCGTACGACCCGAGTACACAAAACCTTGCTTTCCAACTATTATGATGAAAAATCTGGTTCAATACGGGAAAGTGTTCCTTAGAGACACATGATTATATTGGTCACCTTCGGCTCGCGCCATGAACCTTCCATGAACCCAAAAACATTTTCTCGCAATCGTATCGTAATATACTATTGTAACCTTCTCGGAAATTTCATCATTTTATATGGGCACAAAAAGGTATTTCAGTAAAATGTTGCTGTGCAATACCGAGAGATAAATTAAATAAAAAATTATATAAAATATCGATATTAATGTGTTCCCAGTGTTTGGAGCAGCAACAGCCGAATTCAAAGTGAACGAACATGATATGTGGCTTCATGTTGGGGATAGGAGCGCGTTTAACCTATTGTTAACGTAAGTAACACTATTAATGATACAATTAATTCATCCTTCAGTGATTTACTTATTTACTTATTACTTATTTCTTCCTATATGCTCTAAATAGTCAGCGGTTACCTATCCCTATCAACGTGACGTTCGACATTCAACATAAGGACTTAGTAAGAACAGATCCAGCTACGTTTATCGTGAACAATACTGCGAATGTATTATCATGGAACATTAACGTATACGCACTCAATCCAGGATATTCTACCATTGGTCTCAATGTCACGCCCGACAATTTAACTGTGTGAGTGAATTGCTTATCTATCAAGAATTTTGAAGTTAATCCGAACGGAGGAGGAATCGCTATTTTTATTATTCAAAGAAGGGGAAACCAAATGACAATTCATGGACGAAAGGAAATATGTAATTAGCATCTTACATTTATTTATTCTATTTAATTATAGAGATAAATACATAGAACAGTTAGGGAGCACCATTATGAAAAATCAATGGATTTCACGAATGAGAAAAAAAGAATGCTTGTCAAATGATAATGCTTCGCTATGACATACGTACTTTTTCTTATCTGCTGATACGCTGTTTAAAGAGGGTGAAACACCCCTCCAAAGTTGATCTCTAAGGGTGATTTTTCCCAGTCGCATATAACAAGGTTTTGATAATTCATAATGGTCGCAATAGATACTTCATCAAAAGTTATGAGAAGCATAGCACAAATATTCTCAAATATGTTTTTTTTTCTTGGGTGGACTAGCACGCAGAAAGTTTATTTGTCGTACAATCATCAACAATTGAAAGAATAAGAACGATTAAGATTACCTCCGTACAACTTTTCAGGGACTCGGTTTCTGAAGGAATGCAACAATAACAAACAGTGTTAAATTAAACTGAGTATATTTTTTTACAGTTCCGTGGACGCATTTGTAAGAGTCACTGTAAGGAAATCGGATACGCTGTACCATATTAGCAGTATAGTTGGGTGGATTTATTTCTTAGCATGGAGCGTCAGTTTCTACCCTCAAATCTACAGCAATTACAAAAGAAAGAGTGTTGTTGGATTGAACTTTGATTTTTTATCATTAAACCTGGTTGGATTCGTCATGTACTCCCTCTTCAACTGTGGGTTATATTGGATCCCAGTAATCTGGGTAAGCTCAACTGAATTGGCAACAGACCAAAGATTCTCTTTTATTGCAAATTATTTTGTTTAAAGAGGTGGTTTGTTTTTTTTAATGAGACTCATAAATCACTTATTAACTAGTAGGACGTGGATTGCTTCATATGTGGATGTGTTAGTAGTTGTGGATTTCAGCAGGTCTGATCCGTTGAAAGGGTCATACCAAAAATTTTCCCATCTTATTCATTATACATATGTAAGGATTCATATGAATATATAAAAAACAATTTGAAAACGATTATATCCATACGTATCGCAATACAAATTTGCTGATTAAAATTTTTATTAAATTAATTATTAAATTGCAAATTAAGATATTAACTTCAAGGGATCCTCCAAGTTTACAGAAATAGTATAGTTCTGGGCTAATGCGATGGGGTTTTTTACTCCTGTGGAGTTTGCGCTCGAGCCGCATGCGAGAACTGGCCAACAATTATTTTTCCGTAGTGAATTTCGAATTTTGGAGTTCAGGAAGTATATAAAATCAATTATCAAACGAGAAATCGTGAGGAACAATACGGAAAAATAATTAAAAACATGCAGTTTACCAGCCACCATGGTGGGGGAAAAGAATAAACTTAACGGTTAGTGACAATATGATCGAAAATGGACTAAAAATATTACCGATTGTAAACTCCGCATTTTTCATTATTTTTCTATCAATTTATTTTCTTTTTTTTTTTCGTTATCTTCGACGGAATCGTAATCCCAGGTTTCGGTATATTTTGGACTAATAACATTTCAAATTCATACGAATGATCACGTTCGATAGATGCAGGTTTTAGTCTACATTTCCGGCCATACACACACACAAATTTGATTTCAAAACTTCAGGGTAATTACTATACCTGCGATTTTGAAAAGTTGGAAATTTACATTATGGAACTATATTTGAATTTTTGAGAAAATTTTTCAACATCATTTGCTTGAAAAGCATCGTGAACTGCAGAGAAGATTTTAAAACGTCGAGATGTAGTAAAAATTTAATTTCAAAATTTCGGGGTGATTACAATAGCTTCACTATTGTCGAAAGTTGAAAATTTTATAGGCCGTTATCATTGTCATAAAATTGTATAAGGAATTTCAAAAAAATGTTCTACATTTTGTTTGGACTTTATTAACACTCAAGATAGCGTTTAACCATCAGTTCATAAATCTAATTTATAGTATTAGATTTAGATTTGCCTGTTCAGCATAGATAATCATTACTATCTACACAGAGAGGTAAACACATTGAAAGGTAAAAAGCGCTTTCCTGAAATAGTGTATTTCACCAATGAGACAAAATAATGCTGTTCCCGTAATTTTTTGAAAGTCATATAAAAAATTGAGGAAATTATATGAAATATTAATGGGCGACTGAGAAAAATTACCGCATTACATCTGAAAATTTCCGTATTGCTTATTACGATGTCTTATCTGGAAATAAGATAATTGGTTGGTGAAAAATTTTTCATCGTCAGAAAACGAACTGATAGTTTTTTAAAAACTTTATTTAGTTACAAGTTAGCTAGAAGGAAGTATGGGTAGGGAATTAGGCTGGGGTACCGTGTTTGCCCATTGGCAAGTAAAAGCGACCGAAAGGTCAAATTCGCACGCTATCGATATATCTGAAGTTTGTCACGTTTATTCCTCATTAGTTCTCAGTAAAATTCCGAAATTATTTGATTTGGAAATTTTAATCATGATTTTTATAATTACAGCACGGTCTCGTACCTGCGAATAAAGAATTCAATTCCGTCAGAGTATTCTACACGTTTCTCAACTTCATAAATGTATGATTTTTTTTCAGATGGAATATTTAGAACGGCATCCTAGAGGTGTAATTCCAGTACAAATTAACGACATATTTTTCTCTCTCCATGCTGTCTTTGTAACGTTAATCACGATAAGCCAGTGTTTTATCTATGAGGTAATGAAAAAGAACAAAAACTGAATAATTCCTTACTAGAAATTGCACCAATTAAGTATTATGCAGAAAACTTCGAACCATTTATGAATAGCTAGAAATAAAAACGTTCTTTATTGCATGAATAAACATCCATTCGAGATTTTCTGTATCAGAAAAGATTGAATATAATTAGAGTTTGCGGAAAAAAGGGTTAGCATCAGTCAAATTTTATCGAATCTTCTTGAATCCCTGAAATCTCAAAAAAAATAAATAAAATAATCCGTTTTAGATTGGAGGACAACGTATATCAACAACGGCACGTGTAATTCATGGAATATTTTCAGCTGTGATACTTATATCAATAGTCCTATCAGTTATTCATATAATCGCTTGGCTGGATTTTCTTTACATCTGCGGTTACATTAAATTAGCGATAACCTTGATAAAATACGTACCCCAAGCGTACTTCAATTATCAACGGAAATCAACAGTTGGATGGAGCATTGGGAATATATTCCTCGATTTCACTGGAGGTCTGCTGTCTATGCTAGAGATGATCTTAAATGCGTACAATTACGGTAATTCAATAATTATAATTTTTATAATCATAATGTAACACTCCACACATGCATCTGCGTGTTTGTCACTTATATGAGGTATTCCAGGAAAACCAGGAGGCCGAGTGAACCATAAACTCAATTTCTGCAGGACCTGATATAAATTAGTATAAAGCACTGTGGTTCTTTCGCTAATTAGAGTTAATTTAAGTTAATTTCGTTTTATTTTCAATGAATGTGAGTGCAGACATCGTTTTCTGCTGTGCCTGTAAACTTCATATTCATTGAAAACGAAACATGTGCTCTTGTACTCTCATATACTACTTCGACATTTACTAATTGCGTCTCTGTTTAACTTTGGTTAAGCTGTTTTCAAAAACTGGGTTCTGTAACTCGCTGTGAATCGTCTATTTTGTAGTCTTTTAAATCAATTTGAATCGGGAAACAACACAGAGCCTATGTAAACTTTTGAGGCTAGAATAACAATGAGAATCTAGTCTCGAACTCAAATTGGCTGACTATTGTTGTCTCGTCTCTGTCCTGAATAGATTGGAGTATCATTTTTTAGCGAGTACTCTCATTGCAAAAAAAGGAAAATTCTCAGTTTTATCTGACTTTTAAATTGTCTATGAACGTTCTCATTGCAAAAGTCAGTATCTTATTCTAACGGTTGCGATGGAGCTTTTTCCACTCATGTAGAACTGGTAGCGGAATCGAGATACGCGGTAGCGTATCGGCCAAGTAAAAGTTTCGTCTCTATCCAACAAATAGGGCCGAGAGCTACGGTGTATCTATACACGACACAACTACCCCTTCCACTACCTCCTAATCGTATTCAATCTATAAAATACAAACGCTACAAGTTACATGAAATCTGTGCATAGTTAGATGTAGACAAATCGCCCTCAAGCTTTTCTTTGATATAAGTTTTCCCTTTTTTCGATTAATATTGGCAAAAATTTTCAATCATTTCAATCTTTTCCCGATTTCTATTATCTTTCGGTTACATTGAAGTCACTAATTGGGCAGCAGATCGGATTTAATCATAGTATTGAGAAAATCTTGATAAAAGCAATTAACGAAATTGCCTTAGATTTTAAAAGCCCCTATTCTCATTTTTTCAAATATAAACTCTGTCTTATGGTGCACTGGTATCGTAACAATACCCTTTGAATACAACTCGAGCTTCAAAATTAATCGGATGTGTACCTCTAGGCTCTTTGCAAACAATAGAGCTTGTTTTCCAGAAAAGTTTTCCAGAAAAATCACTGAGGTATTGGTACATCGATCTTTGTATTATTCAGGCCCACGATTAGGATATAGCGGTGTGATCGACAGTGTTACTACATGGCGGTTTTTTTTTAAATGTTTTTTCGAATTTAAAGTGAAGTCCATAATGTGAATGATCAACGTTCTTCATACGACGTTGTTGATATCTCGTTGACACATTGTTATGATGCACTTTGTTCTTAAAAAGTCAAAAACAATTTGGGACAAAATTGTCATATGGTAACCTTGGTTGTCGATCCCAAAGACGCCACATGTTGGTACAATTATAGACAATGGACACCTAACGAGATTAATGAATTTAACTAATTTACAACAGATCCCCCAATGATCGATATTATACCACAGCCCTCCACGTCACAACCGACCATCATCGACTAAATACGACGAATGCATGCTTCCACTACTTCTCTGTAGCTGTTTTATTTAAATTTATTGAATATCATTCTCTGAGCCGTGGTGTCAGCAATCAGAGTTGCCAGATGGCGAATTTTTTGAAAATGTTTTTTTGATTTTAAACAATCCCAATCAAGCAAGTCCAGCCGATAGCGCGAATGATTGACACTTTTGAAATGGCCTAGTTGATATCTAATTCGAAGCTTGCTATCATCTATCCTATTCTTGAAAAACCAAAAACAATTTTTGGAAAAAATCGCCATCTGGCAACCCTGTCAGCAATAATAGGAGGCCTGAACTATTTCTGAAAGAACTGTATTACGACACAAAATTAAAGATTTGCAGCTACAGTCAATCTCATTATTGTTCAAATGTTAATCAAACGACAATAATAATAATTCAGAATGTTATCGATTTTCAGACGATTGGAATAGCATTTTTGGAGATCCTACCAAATTTGGACTTGGCTTCTTCTCAGTGGCATTTGATATATTCTTCCTCGTCCAACACTATTTATTATACAGGTATGTTTACTCAGATTACTTTAGTATTCAGCATTCTAGCATGTGTGTTGTTTGATTTTCTGTTTGCTTTATTTTTCATTTTTTCATTAGCAATTTATGTGGGAAATGAGGGAATGATTCGAGCTGAATGTAAAAGGTGTTTGCATTAGTTAAACTAGTCAGTTGAGAGTAAAAAATATTCTAGGCAAATAAAATCTTAATGACCCTTCATTCACTGCTTCAATAATTCACGAAAATGCAACATCTTTTTAAACGTATCACAAAATCTTCTCTATACATGTATGGCCGTTGAATGAAAATTTTCCCTGTGTTGCGCTTCTAGTTTCCAACGTATGGGTTACAATTCATCGTAAGTCCAATATGAATTGATAAGGACATTTGAAAAGATCTTTAAAAGACAGGTATTTCAATAAAAATTAGAGATTGCTTAAAAAAATTCTCTTGGCAATGATCTTCTCAAATTGCTCCCACCATTTCTATTCATTTGCGATACGGTTGCTTAATCAAAAATAAATAATGTCTAAAACATATTCATGCTGAATGTTTTAATTGTTTCATTATATGGGTAATGAATAATATCGAGAGGAATCACTTCCTATTATCGTTCAACTATTTACACATGTCCGGCTTGCTAATCATCTTTATCTTTTTCTAATCAGAAAAATGATGATACTATTCGCTTAGGCTTTCAATGTCTACACTTAACAGACAGAAAAAAACATGTAACTCATATTTTCAGACATGAAAAACAAATCTTCTGAAATCTAACAAATTCATTAACATGCCGATCTAACAGAATCATAAAAATCTGTGGGTAAAACAACAGATGCACAAGACAAAGAAAGGAAGGCATAAAGCATGGGGGTAGAGAGAATCAATTCTCATTTTCCAGGCATACCAGTGAGAAAGTGTACGACCTTGAAGGCCGGGCATAACGAAAAACAGGAGAAGGTCCTGTTTGAGGAGATATCCATGATCTATATTCGAGTAATTAAATCCATTAGGAGCCATTAAAAATTATGGAAAGGAGCGAACGATTTATGCATGTTTTACAATCCGGAACATTTCTTGTATTGTGATGACTTTCTGTGAAATAATATGACTTATTACACGTAATTTATTCACATGAAAAAAAATTTTATTGATTTTAACGTGAATAAATTGATTTTTATTGTTGCTTCGTATTTATAGAATATTACTTTATTTCTGTAGTAAATGAAAAGACGGATGCAGAATATCATGTTTAATTCCATAATCACAATCCCAGGAATGGAATTATTAAATAGAATTGTAATTGGTATTAAAAACAGGAATTTGACATTTTTATTTTAATGTTTGTAAAAATTGATGCATGATGCATGACTAGACAAACGGACAGCAATGATCCAAATCATCCCGAATGATAAGAATGTGGCATAGATGAGTAATTGAAGTATAGAATAGCTAAGCAGTTGTCTTCCTCTGGAATACCTTGATTTAAGTACATCTACATTAAGAAAAAAAGTTTTTAAGAAGTCCTTCTCCACTTATATTACGAAATACATTCTCAAATTTTTTCCAAGTAAAAACGATATCTTGTACTGAGAGAATAAAGCTTTAGTGAAGGGATTCAGTACCTGTCCGAAAGATGAGGATTTTTTTCATGAAAAAATATGGATAAGAAAGAGGCTGACTGAACTTACTCATAAATTTTCATCACAAAACTACTTGACTTCGGTACAGAAGTCGCCTTATCTCGTTATTTCATGGCTCATTATTTTTCGGATAAGCACAAAATCTCTTAAGGCTCGCATGGACTGTCTATCGAACGGGATCTTTTGTTTCAATTCTATCTTATTAGCCTAAAATATATTCGACTTTGGGGGAAAACTTGTGTTGCGGAAACCACTCGAATCCTTATTAAAGGATAATGAAAATAATGACGTAAAATTATTGAAAGGCGCCAAATCGCGATATCGATTGAAAGGAATCTACTAAGTTAAAAAAAGCTGCATATTTTTTATTATTTTTTGTGAACTTAGTAGATTCCTTTCGATCAATATCGTGGTTGAGCGCCCTTCAATACTTTTTCTTCTTTTTTTTTTCATAATCTTTTTATAACCATTCGAGTGGTTCTCGCACCACAAATTTGATTCCAAATTTTTATTTATTTTAAACTAACCAGATAGAATTGAAACAAAAGATCACGTTCGATAGATAGTCCATGTCGGCCTTAAGAATGTTTAACCGTCAAGTGAGCAACCGTATCAGAAAATAAAATTGAAAAATTCAAAGAAATCATTTACGAGGTAACTATTTTTTTCTATTTATTCACGAGCCTCATGGCATACTTTGTGGTTCAAATTATGAAGAAATATTAAAAAAGTTTATAAACATTGACGTATGACTGACTACTGTGGTAACGCTCGAGTTTTGATCGTGCAACACCGCATTTAGCGAGGGGCCCCGCCATCACTGTTTCATCGTCATCTACCTTGTCAATATTGCTCAGCTGTAAGAGAAACATTGTCAATATTTTACAATCATAATGGCGGCCACATTTTTTCACATCTTTTCAAAAATCAATCACAAATTTCTCGTGTATTGTATCGGGTACCCTAATTTCTGTCGCCGGTAAAATATTCCCTATATTATCAAATAAATGAGTGATTTTTTTTTATGATGTTGAATGCGTATCCTAGTGCCCTTCTTAATCAAAGCTAACGCGGTCACGTTTTTTCATACGACTCTGTGTTGCAGATAATTGTTTTTACTAATTATTATCTAGCTAAAATGGATCGATCGGGGGATCGAGAATGTGACTTGCGTATGGTCCATACTCTCAGCCATTATATTGGAAAAGATTTAGAGTGTATTGATTGTTGTCGGTATCAGTTAAACATCCTTAAGTGAAGTTATTTTCCTCAGTAGAAAAAATCGTTGTCTTGGAAACTTTGAGCATGAGTTTCTTCACGCCACTAAAGACGCACTTCACCAAAAACTTCTTTTATGTCATTGTAGAGAGTGTTGACCTAAATAAACAATTTATCTATCTGAATTTGGAAATCTCAACGAGATGTCTTCACTAGTATTAATAAAATATCTAGATTAGGAAACTTGCTTTCTGTAGGATTTCATAATGTGAAAAAAAGCTCTGGATGATTTTTTTTTCAACTAACAAGTTCAAGCGATATTCTCGGAATATTTTATTTGGTACTCTCTCACTTATTTCCCTTATTCCTTATTCCAACGGAAATCAACTACGAAGCTCCGAACGAAGATTTAAAATTCAAAATTTCACAGGGATCACGAGTACATGGACATTCCAGAAGGGTGTCAAGAGGAGGCCGTGCTCGAGGATCCATCCGAACAGATGGATATTTGATTACAGTGATTACTAAGGGCTAAAGACGCTTCCACGCCAAAAAATCTCATGGCCTCGATGTGTCTAGTAGATTAGTTTATTTATTGGATCACGGACTCACTTGTGATAAAGTGAATCGATTCACAAACGCACTTATTGTTTGTACTTCTATTTATATTGTGCAAGAATGTGATAAGCTGTTCCATATCATCAGCACCATTTATGAAATGGAAAAGTGTTAGAATAAGTGATTTACGAAAACGCAAAGAAATCTTAAACGGCGGAGAAGAAATGAGAATACAATTTTTTTAAAGGAAAAATCAATTTTAGCATTGTATTCCAATAGAAAATTGGTTACCCTTGAATTATTTATTGAATATTTACAATTTGTTTTACCTTATTAGCGCGTATTCAGTTTTATTCATAGTTATTTAAGGCTTTTTATTACTGAAATGTCACATACTGAGAATGATTTTGTTGGAAATCAGTAAAGTCTAACTCCCTGGCCTTTGATTTCAATGAAATTTGACATATTCAAAGTTTTTGGCTTCCTGATCCCGAATCTGACAGGAAAAATTGTCAGACATATTGAGGTGGCGATACATTCAATTACCTTTCACGGGTTTTTGCGTTTCCTAGAACCACGACGAGGACGCCACGGTCGACAGGCCACAAAGACTACACATGTTCATATAAATCTAAACCAGAGATTTCTAAACAAGGGAAAATACAAAGAGATGGTTCATGTCACCGGTTTTTATCCATTATCTCGCCTTCTTCACCCCCCCCCCCCCCCCCCCCAAGATCAGATTAAAACATATCCCATTGTTGCTCTTTTCCATTTATTTAATCGCAAACAAATAAATGAAATAATTAATTCACGTGTCCGATGCATTATTAACGCTATGTGGCAGGAAAGGCAAGGCAGGAGTATAAATCTACGCAATCTCAACTTATGATGAATTTATGATATTAACAGAATTATCTCAAGATATTGTGTCTAATAACACTCATGGAGTCAGAAAATTTCACCGTTCTGTTGAATAACTTACTTGGATATTGATGGTCACTTACCTCGCTCGTTACTGCCACATGGAAATTTATATGATTTAGGTATCAGTCGTAGAATGTACCACCGTGTGCTAAACACAACACAAATCTATGTTTTTATTTTTCCAGACGACTAATTGCCCAACATTCAATTTTTCTATTTAGATTCCTTTGGATATAGAAAAAAAATTAAAATTTAAAGATGAAATTATTTTTAGTGGGTGTTCGTATTACCCTACTCTATCCCCTATGTGTGATAGCTCTTCAAGCGCTACGCAAAAAGCGCATACAAGGTGGTTTTATAATATAATAAAATATAAGATTCCTCAGTAATAGGCCATACGGCGGGAAACATCAACTCGTGGTCAATGAGTTGAAAAGCATTTTTGAAATCGGCATGTCAGACCCTAATCCTTCATCGAAAGATTCTGTTCTTTTCAATGAATGGCTAATGGTGTTATCGTATAGCCCTCGTTCAAACTGTATCCGATTTTTCCATTCAGCCCCCAAACTGTTCCAGTCCTGAGTCCAGGGAAAAATTGAAGGGATTACTTGAAATTTTCCAGAAGGTCTAGTAAATGTATAAAACACGTCCCTAATGAAAAGAAAGTGAATAAAAAATTTAATTTTTCATATGTTCTTTCATGAAGATTACAGTGGAAAAGGTATTATAATAAAAATGAATATCGTACGTACCTCGCCCATGATATTACCGTCCTCAGTTTTATAATACCTCCTCCATTCGATATCCTCTGGCCTGAAATGCTTCTCACACCCTGGTTTTCCAGCAGTTAATTTTTCGCATTTCACTGCGAGTTTCCATTTACTAACCATATTTTTTGGTACCATGACAAACAGTATTTTTCACGCCTAGGATGGAAAAAGTGAATCTGACGAATGCGGCTTTATAGTCCGAGCTGACGGCGAGGATTATAACGCGCATGAGTCAGAATCACTTCTTTCGCCGTAGCTATGGTGCTATTTTTTGTCATTGTGACCGAAAACGCGTTTATCGGTTTTTATCCGAGCGAAGCGAGGGTAGAAACGCGTTTCACCGGACACGATTACGTAAATGAAATTTACCAGGGTTGGATTTATTTCCTGATGTATATCTTACTGCAATGCGAGATATTGGCCTGGTGCATAGGAAATGAAAAGATAAGTGTCAATATTTCGATTGTCTATCCGTTAGGCATAAGCTTAGGATCTTTTTGTGACTTGACTTTTAACGCGTTGCAAACCCCAGGGACGCGTGGGTAGAGTGAGAGTGGAGGTAACCTAGAAGACTGTCAGCGCCACCACTGCGGCGTCAACAACTGGGTAGCGTATGGACGTAAGCGGATTTTAGGTAATTAAACAAATGTCAACAGGCCGTTTACAAAAGATTTAACAGGGGAAGACTGGGAGAACAGCCGAAGAATCATAATCTTGATGATGGGAGTCAATGTCGACTCGATATCTGTATCATAACACACCGTTCAGATCGTTTTCTCGTTCGTCCCTTTGACTGTCTTCAATGGAGATTTTTCGATTTTCATTATCATCGAATAGTCGGCCAGCTTCCAATTGAGGGTAACGATGACATTTGGAAAATGTTCCCCGAAAATGAGGATGGGATCTGAGAATGTGGGTCCCTTGAAGTCATTGTTTTCTAAAGCGAGAGAACTCTTCTTTGGTGCCTCAGTCTTAGCTTCATTCCAGATTTTTTTAACTTCTGACCAGAGCTTTTCACGACTTCTGGTGAGTGAAGGCTGCAGAGGAGGCTCGAGGCATTCTTTTATTCCTGTGCTGGTGCTGGGATGGGAGATACATGTATGTAAGGTGGAAGATGTTGGTGCTGCTGTTGCTTGTTTGACAGCCAGTGGAGGAGCAGCTACAGCGGTTATTGTTTGTGCCAAATTTACCATTAGGGTTAAACCGCTCGGTTTTTGCCAAATTGATTACCCTAAAAACTGGCCCTCAACCGATTGAGTTCTTGTGATCTCTTGACTCGACGAGACTCACGTTCATCCATTAGGATGAGTTGGCCATCCTCGCCCTCGAAGTTTCTGAGTTGGGACTTCCATTTGTCTTAGCGATCCCTTCTCGATTTATGGCGAAAAAATTAAAACCATGAATTTCTGAAATTTGACCATCAATAATTATGAATAAATCAGCTGAGTCATTCATATGGGAGGAACAGTTTTATGGCAGAGGAAAGTCCCTTACGGGACTTTATCATCGGGTTGGTTGAACCTCAATCTTGTCGTCGATCCAAGAGGGAACAAGAACTCAAACCTGCATCACCCCGATTGGATAAGACTTCATATCGGCGTCCGGCGAACGGTCATCAGTTCCATCCCCACATGATCCGAATTTCTTGGGTTTTCCCCCGGTGTCAGTGGCGCAAATGCAGCACAGGGGGGCATGGAAACTTTTGAAAGCTCGAGAGGGGATACACAGCTGAAAGGAAAGTAGTCATTCCCTCCGTTAAGAATTATTTTTTAAGTATCAGGGAAAAAATTATGAAACAGTGCCGTAAATTTTACGGATCTACACGGAGAGAAATATTTAGTAAAAATTACGGAACTTTCAGTTCACTTACCGATTACGGAGTTGATTCGAAAAATTTAAGTGACGGACTCGTTATTTTTCACCGATAATTCAGATAAAAATTACGGAACACTGCAAAAAAATTCCATGACTTTAGATAAAAATTACGTGGCAGTTCCGTAAAATTTCCGACAACCACATTTCGCTCCAGAATTACGGAAAATACACGTATTTTTTATTGAATATTTCTCTCAGTGTAGGCATCGTAATTTTTGTACCTTGGGAGTCACCTGTTCTTGACTGAGTCATACAATTTTTCACATGAACTGCATTTTCTCCGATTTTAGATTTCGCCTCAAGATTGCGTGTTGGACCGGATTTTTTCAGTTCCATTGCGGCAGATGAATTTGAAAATTGATCAATAAATTGTAAATAAATTGAAGGATTGGTTGACAATTGTATCCCAGCCTACGATCAAGCTTGAATTTGCCTGTTTTTCCCAAGTTTGGTTAAACTGTATATTTCCATAACATCAAGGCTGGTTCAAACTAGGAATTCCACAGCTTGATATCCTAGACTGATCTACTGAGTTCTGATCAAAGCTCGGGCCCATCGTCCAAACTCAGATTTTCTCACTTGAGTAATCATTTTATAAGTGGATTACATTACGAGTATTCGATAAATATATAAGGTAGGTCCTATTCGGTAATTAGTTCGAAACAGAATAGACTAAACAGAGACTCGGTGTTTGGGTGACGGGGTACATCCTCAATTTGATCCCCGGCACCAAGATTCTATCTGATACTTTTTTTCTATATGTTTATTCAATTGTTTTTTTTTTGCAGCGATTTAGTATATTACGCAGCAAGTGCGTAATGGATTTTTTGGCTGGTGGGAGGTTTGTAACACGACCCGAAAGCGAATTTTACAATTCCACGAGTCCAAAAATTCATAACGCATTCGTTTCTATATTATGTCATTGGGCCCGTAACCCGCGATCCCACCCAGCCAAACGAGGTTTGAATCGAGTAATTACAGGTACCTAGGACATAGATGATTTTTTTACACTTCAGCGTGCGATAACTGGCCGGTTCCTGCACCCTGAAATATAAAATAATGAACGTCACTCGGGTTTTAATTTTGTTTTATGCGACTCGCTTCGCCCTAAGT